GAGGCAGATTTTTATCTTCTGTGACATTCCCTGAGATTACGGTTTATAGAAGGGTGACAGTAGGTTAGCCTTCCCTAGTTATTCCTTTATAATTTATGACAAAAGCTTGTTTTATAGTAATCTTTGTTTTCCTACATACACACGACATTGCAACTACTTACAATCATCAACCTTTCTTATTATTATGTATTTCACATGCATATGTGTTTATGGTCATCTGCAGGCAATTGGTGAGCCAGCTTTATTCCTGGGATGTTCTGTCTTTTTTGCTATAAAGGATGCTGTTGCTGCCGCCCGTAAAGAAAGAGGATTACCCAGGATGTTTATTCTGGATAGTCCAGCAACTCCTGAGGGCATCCGATTGGCCTGTATTGATCAGTTTACTGAGATGGTATGAGAGTTGTTTGTTTTTCTCCACCTGCTTGGAATTTATATATTTCAAAGACATTTTGCACAAGTAAACAAATACTTATGATAGAGCAAAAACAACTACACTGTAATACAGGATACCATACTGTTATTACAGGGTTATTAAGTGTAAAAATTAAGGGACGTGGTGGTGCTGTGGGCTAAACATGGTATGAGAGTTGTTTGTTTTTCTCCACCTGCTTGGAATTTATATATTTCAAAGACATTTTGCACAAGTAAACAAATACTTATGATAGAGCAAAAACAACTACACTGTAATACAGGATACCATACTGTTATTACAGGGTTATTAAGTGTAAAAATTAAGGGACGTGGTGGCGCTGTGGGCTAAACCGCAGAAGCCTGTGCTGCAGGGTCAGAAGACCAAGCAGTCGTAAGATCGAATCCACGCGACGGAGTGAGCACCCGTTGCTTGTCCCAGCTCCCACCAACCTAGCGGTTCGAAAGCATGCAAATGCGAGTAGATAAATAGGTACCATCTCGGTGGGAAGGTAAACAGCGTTCCGTGTCTAAATCACACTGGCCATGTGACCACGGAAAGATTGTCTTCGGACAAAACGCTGGCTCTATGGCTTGAAGAGCGGGATGAGCGCCGCCCCCTAGAGGCGGGCACGACTGGACAAAAAAATTGTCAAGGGGAACCTTTACCTTACCTTTAAGTGTAAAAATTAATTTGTTATAATTAAATGTTAAGGGTTGGGAGATTAATAGATGGTGGTGGCGATTGTTAGCCTTGAGTGGTAAAAATTATTTAATTTGTTGAATCAGTGATCATTAATTGATTAAATGGTTCTCTTTGGAATAAAGAGTATGATTTACAGACAGCAGTGTGTTGGCTGCCACCATTGATCTCTAATGGCACATTTCTTATTGGCTCTTTCCAAAGTTACAGAGTTGCCTTCCTGATACTTTTTTCTGGGTAGACTACAATAGTTGTTGACTCAAAACCATCAAGTCAGGAAAGGGTGTCTTTTCTAAAGCTTAGGATCTCATCTTACAAACTGTTCAGTTATGTGTTGCTACTGATTTCTGTTGTTCATCTTTCTCTTTCTCACCCACATAGTTGTACCAAGTAGCCATATCCTTTAGCTCTACAGTCATACAATCTCACTTGCACAGATATTGAACTGAGAAATGTATTTTTAAAAATAAAAATGGAATATTATTTTATTCTAATATCTAAAGGTTGCTCTAATATCTAAAGGTTGTTATATTATCTGGATCCACGTACACTGAATATATGGGATTGTTCTAGCAACTAATAAGAGGCGTGAAAATAAATGTTTTTTTAAAGTACTATCTTAAACAAACTAGTCATCAGTAACATTTAATAAAGATGTCTATGCTTTTTGCATTGAATAAACCACATGATTATGAAATTAATAGAACTGTGCTTCTGATCTGTCTCTCCCCCCCATTAAACAGATTGGTTAATTATTTTGATTTCTTATGTTATCCTGCTTCTACAAGTAGTGTGACTTGTTGCTGTTTTATAAAGCTTGTAAAAGGAAGCATCTAATACCCTCAGCTCACTTCTGAAATAAAATATGACCTGATGCCTAAACTATATCAACTGGATGTGTCTGACGTTCTCCATAGTGTACTGTGAACAATGTAGTTTTAAAGTCTTGTTTAGAAGTAATCCTTATGTCTAGATTAGTAAACTATGATTAAATCAGGCTTTACTGTTAACAGAAGGGAGAGTCCTGGTTTACAGAAACCCTGTTTGCCACACCAAAGCTTGTGTGGAATGGAAGGAGGAGGAAAGTGGTGAGGAAGTAGTATTCCTCATTCCAAGCTTCATAGAATTTCATTCATCGATATGAGAACATTTTATGTGAACCAATCCATTTTACAAGGGTGCCTCTGAAGTGAAATACACTAACTGATAATTTTATTCACTATTCTAGATTTCAAAGAATAAGCCTGACTTCAAACATCTCTGTGCCGTGCCAAGCTAACAATTGCTGCTACTCATGGAGCTATTTTTTTAGAAAGATGTAGAGAAATCAGCAGAGAAAACCAGGACAAATTAATACCAGTCCACATCAGAAGGCTTTCCAGCAGTTCCAAGTCCAGCAACAGAACCGATGTTTGCATCATCAAAAGGCCAATGATTCACAGCGCATTTGCAGAAACGTTGCTATACTGTTGTTATTTATTAAATGCACTTACACTTCTTTAAAAAAAGTTGAACTTCAACAACTTTTGTATTAGAGTTCAGTACTGTAATTTAATCCATTATCTTAACCACCGATGAACCATGTTTTATTTAAACACTGTATTGTCAATATGCTAGATGTCTGAAGTTACCATTTATTCAATCAATACAATATATAAACTTTCGTTTCCTCAATAAAATGTATTCAGCAGTCTCAACCGGATCTGATTTAATGGGAGCAGAAGCACTGGGAACAAGAGATATGTCATATCTTATTTCTAGAAGCCCTGAAGGTAGGTAACACCCTGAAACAACTAGGGTGAAAGTTCTATGGGATTTAATAAACTCTAACCATAAAGGTAATATTTCAGGTATAGCTCCTGGAGTCCAAATGATGCAGAACTAGAGCTATGCCCATCTCAAAATACATTGCTTGATAGTTTCTCTGGCTTTCAAGAAGCCAACGTGTACCAAAGCTAGGGGTGGGTAAACCCACAAGTTATCCATTCCTCCTCCAT